CCAAGAGCCCCGAGTATAGGTAGAAGTAAAGGTAGAAAGCCACCTGTTTTCGGTAGAGGCAGAATCCGCAAACGTCGCTTGGAACTTTGCGATTTTGGTGATTTTTTTCGCAAATCCTTTCCCATCTTGTTCAAACGTTTCTTTCTTTGTTGTGTACGATGTTTTCGCAGGCCAAAACCCATCTTTTTTTTTAGCTTTCATTGCTCCAGCAACTCCCAAAGCTGCCATTCGTTCTCCAAAAGAGCTGTCGGATGCGAAGGCTCGCTGTATAGCTTGATCAGCCAAAAGTTTGTCCGCTTGTTGACGCGCAGTGAGATCTTTCTGCTGAGAATAGAAAATGTCGTGTTGTTTGCAAAATTCGTCAAGTGGATTTATACCAACATCTCCTCGTTGAAGACGTTTTTGCAGTTTGGTTGACGGGCCACAGAAATTGTAACCTGGGATGTGGGCTTCGAAAGGGAGATTTTCTATTACGTTGGAAATGAGGCCGCGACCTCGCACGATCGGTGTCTGCTGGAAAGTACGTGTCATGGTGAGTGCACAATCATTATATACTCTTATTACGAATAGAGCGGGAGGTTCTATATATAGGAGTCCATTTGGATGGCTACTAGTAATCACACAACATCATGAGAATTGAGCAGACGATACCAAAGCTTCAGGTAGGTAATTACGATGGAATAGTGCAAGAAAAAACGTTCCGAAAACATGGAAGTGTGTTCAATGGTGCTTCTAAACGGGCTCTAATTGTTGGTAATAGTGGTGCTGGACAGACTAATATCATGATCACCCTATTAATACACCCTCACGGATTACGATATGAAAATGTCTATTTGTTTTGTAAATCACCCTACCAAACAAAGTATCAATTTCTTCGCTCAGTTTTAGAACCTCTAAAAGAGATAGGATATTACGAGTACACGAACGGTGATGATATTAAGCCTCCAGCGGAAATCGAATCAAATGCGATTATGATTTTTGATGATGTTGCATCATGTAATCAGGATATAATGCGTCAGTACTTTAGTTTTGGGCGACACAAAAATACAGATTGCTTCTACCTGTGTCAAACATACACAGCAATTCCCAAGCAGTTATTAAGAGATAATGCAAATCTTCTAATACTTTTAGCACAGGATGCATTAAATTTGAAGCATATTTACGATGATCACATTAGCTTGGATATGTCGTTTCAACAGTTTAAAGATATTTGCTCACTGTGCTGGCAGGAACCATACGGTTTTGTTGTGGTTGATAAAGATTCACCCAAAAATAATGGGAGGTATCGGAAAGGTTTCGACAAGTATATATACCTATAGTGTGGTATATAAAGAGCGTGTAAGATTAGCAGTACCAGTGTTACGCCAGCCTCTCCATAATACGTGATATGGATCCAAAAATTGCAAAGGAATTGGTGAAAGCCAGACAAGCAGTCAAAGAAAAGTATCGAGCATTAAAGTCGGATATTGCCCAATCGGAAACCCAATTGCAAAAGCAGTGGAAACCTATATCGGAACCGCTCCAGCAGTTACTTGAAAAAGTAGAGCCAGTCAAAGTAAAACCAGAGAACTGGAAATTAGAATCTAAAACATAAACACCTCAGAAATCACCACTTTCACAGAAATTAACACCGACAAATATATACTGTTAGAAACAATGGGGAAGAACACTAGTTTTGGTTAAATACACCTTTATTACGAACAAATATTGTTTATCGATATAACTGAGCGGCAGGGAATCCGGGCACGACGCGCACCGCCCAACGTTTCTGCTCAGACTGCCTGTCGACGGCTGGTCGAAGTGATAACAGCAGATAACGCAGCAGTACTCCCCGTGACCGGCAGCGGCTCCCGAAAATTCTCGTTGCTTACACGGCCTTCCTGATGGCCGCGGCGTTCTCGACGCCCTCTGCACCACTAGCCGAATCTGTGAATCAAATCAAATACAAGCACTTTGAGTACTTGCCACAACTATGATCTCACAAATATGATTCAAATCTGAATCAACCACTACCGGTACTAAGACCAAAATTCACAATTCGATTACAGAATTGCACGTAAATTCAATCAAATAAACCTTTAACAGTGACGGCGATGACCGTCTCATTAAAATAAAACTCTAAAACTTCAGTACTAGTAGCTCTACTACTAACAAGACAGAAACCAATCTTACAATATCCCTGAAGACCTCAGCTTTCAGCTGGCTCTGCTACTGATGAGGCAGAGACCAATCTTACAATATCCCTGAAGACCTCAGCCTTCAGCTGGCTCTACTACTGACGAGACAGAGACCAAAATAACAGTATCACTGAAGACCTCAGCCTTCAGCTGGCTCTGCTACTGACGAGACAGAGACCAAAATAACAGTATCCCTGAAGACCTCAGCCTTCAGCTGGCTCTGCTGCTGACGAGACAGAGACCAAAATAACAGTATCCCTGAAGACCTCAGCCTTCAGCTGGCTCTGCTGCTGACGAGACAGAGACCAAAATAACAGTATCCCTGAAGACCTCAGCCTTCAGCTGGCTCTGCTACTGACGAGACAGAGACCAAAATAACAGTATCCCTGAAGACCTCAGCTTTCAGCTGGCTCTGCAACTGACCAGACAGAGACCATAATAACAGTATCCCTGAAGACCTCAGTCTTCAGCTGGCTCTGCTGCTGACGAGACAGAGACCAAAATAACAGTATCCCTGAAGACCTCAGCCACTGCAAATTTGTCGTACCATCTGCATTTACTTGTTTGGAATAAAGCATTTCATCCTCTTCAGCATACTGGTTTGCATCAAGGTTGCCTTCTCTGAGTTGTCGTAGCATGTTCTGAACTTCTTCGTTTCCTTTTTGCTCTATGTATGCCCAACTGTTATGCGACACTCGGAGAATTGTTTGTACAGGATTTCTGCTGAAATAATCGACATGCGGAAGACTACTTCCTTTTCAAGACGAATTTTCAGGCAGACATTATTCATTGCACCAACTTTATCGCCTGTTGTAATCATGCCACTAAAATCTTGCAATATAACTTCAAGACCCACGCGATGTTCTTCAGGTACTTCAACTTCTGTGACTAAAGCACCAAAATCTTCTGAAACGCGATTTATGCCAGGCAGCTGACGTCGCACAACGCGTGATCCTTGACGATCTGTTATGGTGGCGAGACTTTCATCCTCAAAAATATTACGCCCCATCAAAACATCTCGCCAGAAACAAAAATAAAATACATCGGAATATCAACACCAGAAATTTTCGCATAACAACCCGTAAACTTCTTTGTAGCCTTAATTGTAACGTTAGCTAGTCTTTTCAAAATAACATTGCAGCTAACAACCTTATTATCAAATAAGTAGAGGAACTTATCAGATATCAATGATAAATCAGCTCCAGTATCAACTAAACAGAAAATATGATAACCATCAATTAATATTTCGGTGGACCCAACTGGTTTTCCACTAGAACAAAAGTTTATGTTGCGATGTTTATCAATAGCAGCTTTTGTAAAGCAATTCGATACGCTGTGACCTTTCTTAGCACAAAAACTGCAAATTTCAGAACTCTGTGATGTACTCGGTAAGTCGCGTTGACTTACAACGTTGTATCTGTCGTCTGACACTAACTTGGTTTTCTTGACGCAATTTGCTTTAACGTGTCCCAATTTCCCACACTGAAAACACTTCTTAGAATTCTTAGAAAAGACATTTTTTTTGCTTATCAACACAAAAATATTTCCTTTTGAATGAAGAAGAGTCTGTTTCGGCACTGTTTTGCTTGTCATTACATGGATGCTTAACGAAAGGTGACAAGAAAACCAATAATTGAGAAATATTTCTGCAGTTAGCATTCATCGCGGCATTGCGCACTTCTAGTTGAGAAATTCCGTAAACTATGAGTTCAACCAGATCGCTTTCACACCAATTTGCACGTAAGTTCTCGAGCATGGCTGATTTTTCATGCACATAACTTTCATAAGTGTTGACATAAGAACTATTGAATTTTGTTGCCTCCTCCAACAAACGCCCCAAATTTCTTTTTGGCTCAATGAAATCATTTCGAAAGGTGACCCAATCCCTGTTATCTGGGTTCCAACGTTCAAACCATCTTTTGGCACCGCTTAGCAAAAATCGACCAATCCTTGCCAGAGTTTGCACGTCAGACCATCCAACTTCCTGCTTAATAGTTTCAATTTGACTTACCCATTTACTGGATTCATTTATTTCGGGTCTAAAATAGGGCAAGTCTACCTGTTCTGCCGACCTTTGGGACTGCAGGGCCTTCACCAATTCTGTTACCAGCGACTGGGCGGGGTCTTCGTCCGTTGAAGCCATTGTTGTTTCCTTACTAGCACCTCCAATACGTGATCCAGACACGCACCACGGCTCAACTTTCAAACTATTGCGAAGTAGTCCCAACGCTGGCCCGATTTCCTTTGTTCTCGCAAAACAACAACAACAAAAACGCCAATGTTTACGAACAAATCACAATCCACTGTGGTTGTCGCGGGCGAATCTCACTTCTGATGTTAGAAACAATGGGGAAGAACACTAGTTTTGGTTAAATACACCTTTATTACGAACAAATATTGTTTATCGATATAACTGAGCGGCAGGGAATCCGGGCACGACGCGCACCGCCCAACGTTTCTGCTCAGACTGCCTGTCGACGGCTGGTCGAAGTGATAACAGCAGATAACGCAGCAGTACTCCCCGTGACCGGCAGCGGCTCCCGAAAATTCTCGTTGCTTACAATACAATAGATACCTCCCCACTACTACAAGTTTCCTTGAAGACACATTCTCTAACCTTCCCGAGCACTCTATTTTACAAGACGTTTCCGGGATAGAAGAATCACGTCCCGATGCTACAGTACTAGAACGAGAACGTGATGTTGACGAGCAAATGATTGCTCACACACGGGAAGAGTTTCGGCGCCTAAGCAAAACACCTGGTTATCAAAGTTATTTAGAACAGTTCCATCCATTACCTCGTCAATATATCGATGAGTCCAAATGGGGGATGAAGAGAATTTTGATCGATATCACGGTATAACACACGATTGGATCGGCGAAAAATTAAAATTGGGGAATACCCCAATAACCCTCGAGGAGTCGGATCTAATCTTAGACAATATCAGATATCCAGGAACGCCAGGTCTGTACGAGTTGTTGTTCAAGAAAGACCCTCGTGGATATAAACAGACCGATCTGGAGCACTACATGGATATGCTAAAACGGACCAATGCATATCGACGTAATTTTGATTCTAATTTACAAATTCAAGGAGTAAACACTTTCAAGTATAAAACAATAATTCGACCATATTTAGTAAAACACAATCTAATAAAAGTATCCGCTGAGGGTGCAAGCAAAACGGGGTCTTTTCAGAAACCGGCACCTCCTAAAGCTCGACCCAGATCACAATCATTCAAACATGTAAGGGGTGGTATATTAGAGTATTCCCCTAAACCAATTGAGTATGTGTATTTTGATGATCCCAATGAGTTGGTCAATCGATTGCGCTTGCTCATCGCATCTGCGTATGCTGGTAATAACGGGCATAATAATGAAATCATGTCTATAATTGAGGAGTTGCGCGAATTAAAAATTATAAAATGAAGTTGTAACGTAATATTACTCTACTAGCGCAGTTTCTGGCATGCTAACGCTATGCCAAATATTGTACGTTGATGTCTTTATTTAAAACCTCACGTAGCGCAGTTGCTGGTATGCTAATGCAATGCTAGCGATAACTATCTCTAATCATTTTTTATCCTTTGGCATCTTTGATCTGGTATCTGGTATCAGGTATCTGGTATCTGGTATCTGGTATCCGGTATCCGGTGTCTGGTATCTGGTATCTGGTATCAGGTATCTGGTGTCTGGTGTCTGGTATCTGGTATCCGGTATCCGGTGTCTGGTATCTGGTATCTGGTGTTTGGTATCTGATGTCTGGTATCTGGTATCCGGTATCTGGTGTCTGGCATCTGGTATCTGGTGTCTGGTGTCTGGTATCTGATGTCTGGTATCTGGTGTCTGGTATCTGGAATCTGGTATCTGGTATCTGGTATCCGGTATCTGATGTCTGGTATCTGGTATCTGGTGTCTGGTATCTGGTGTCTGGTGTCTAGTATCTGGTGTCTGGTGTCTGGTATCTAATATCTGGTATCTGGTATCTGGTGTCTGGTATCTGGTATCTGGTATCTGGTATTTGGTATCTGGTATCTGATATCTAATCTCTGGTGTTTGGTGTCTGATGTCTGGATCTGATATCTGGTGTCTGGAATCTGGTATCTGGTATCTGGTATTTGGTATCTGGTGTCTGGTGTTTGGTGTCTGGTATCTGGTATCTGGTGTCTGGTACCAGGTATCTGGTATCTGGTATTTGGTATCTGGTATTTGGTATCTGGTATCTGATATCTAATATCTGGTGTTTGGTGTCTGATGTCTGGATCTGATATCTGGTGTCTGGTATCTGGTATCTGGTATCTGGTATTTTGTATCTGGTATCTGGTGTCAGGTATCTGGTATCTGGTATTTGGTATCTGGTATTTGGTATCTGGTATCTGATATCTAATATCTGGTGTTTGGTGTCTGATGTCTGGATCTGATATCTGGTGTCTGGTGTCTGGTATCTGGTATCTGGTATTTGGTATCTGGTATCTAATATCTGGTGTTTGGTGTCTGATGTCTGGATCTGATATCTGGTGTCTGGTATCTGGTATTTGGTATCTGGTGTCTGGTATCTGGTGTCTGGTATCAGGTATCTGGTATCTGGTATTTGGTATCTGGTATCTGGTATCTAGTGTCTGGTATCTGGTATTTGGTATCTGGTATCTGGCATTTGGTATCTGGTGTCTGGAATCTGATGTCTGGTGTCTGGTATCTGATATCTGGTATCTGGTGTCTGGTGCCTGATGTCTCGTGTCTGGTGTCTGGTATCTGGTATCTGATATCTGGTATTTGGTATCTGGTATCTGGTGTCTAGTGTCTGGTATCTGGTATCCGGTATCTGGTATCAGGTATCTGGTATCTGGCATCTGGTATCTGGTAACTGGTATTTGGTACTTGGTATTTGGTATCTGATATCTGGTGTCTGGTATCTGGTATCTGGTATCTGGTGTCTAGTATCTAGTATTTGGTATCTGGTATCTTATGTCTGGTATCTGGTATCTGGTGTCTTGTGTCTGGTATCTGGTGTCTGGTGTCTGGTATCTGGTATCTGGTATCTGGTATTTGGTATTTGGTATCTAGTATCTGGTATCTAGTGTCTGGTGTCTAGTATCTGGTGTCCGGTATCTGTGTCTGGTGTCTGGTATCTGGTATGTGGTGTCTGGTGTCTGGTATCTGGTATCTGGTGTCTGGCATCTGGTATCTGGTGTCTGGTATCTGATGTCTGGTATCTGGTATCTGGTGTCTGGCATCTGGTATCTGGTGTCTGGTATCTGGTGTCTGGTATCTGGTATCTGAAATCTGGTATCTGGTATCTCGTATCTGGTATCTGGTTTCTGGTGTCTGGTATCTGGTGCCTGGTGTCTGGTGTCTGGTATCTGATGTCTGGTGTCTGGTATCTGGTGTCTGGTATCAGGTATCTGGTGTCTGGTATCTGGTGTCTGGTATCTGGTATCTGGTATCTGGTGTCTGGAATCTGGTATCTGGTATATGGTATCTGGTATTTGGTATCTGTTATCTCTTTATCTGGTATCTGGTATCCGATGTCTGGTGTCTGGTATCTGGTGTCTGGTATCTGATATGTGGTGTCTGGTGTCTGGTATCTGGTATCTGATGTCTGGTATCTGGTATCTGGTGTCTGGAATCTGGTATCTGGTATCCGGTGTCTGGTATCTGGTATCCGGTATCTGATGTCTGGTATATGGTGTGTGGAATCTGGTATCTGGTGTCTGGTATCTGGTATCTGGTATCTGGTATCTGGTGTCTGGTATCTGGTATCTGGTATCTGGTATCTGGTATCTGGTATCTGGTATCTGGTATTTGGTATCTGTTATCTCTTTATCTGGTATCTGGTTTCTGGTGTCTGGTATCTGGTATCTGGTGTCTGGTATCTGGTATCTCGTATCTGGTATCTGGTATCAGGTATCTGATGTTTGGTATCTGGTATCTGGTATCTGATGTCTGGTATCTGGTGTCTGGTATCTGGTATCTGGTGTCTGGTATCTGGTGTCTGGTATCTGGTGTCTGGTATCTGGTATTTGGTATCTGTTATCTCTTTATCTGGTATCTGGTTTCTGGTGTCTGGTATCTGGTATCTCGTATCTGGTATCAGGTATCTGATGTTTGGTATCTGGTATCTGGTGTCTGGTATCTGGTGGCTGGTATCTGGTATCTCGTATCTGGTGTTTGGTATCTGGTATCTGGTATCTGGTGTCTGGTATCTGGTATCTCGTATCTGGTATCTGGTTTCTGGTGTCTGGTATCTGATGTCTGGTATCTGGTGTCTGGTGTCTGGTATCTGGTGTCTGGTGTCTGGTATCTGATGTCTGGTATCTGTTATCTTTTATAAGTTATCAGTTTTCATTTTTCATTTTTCTATTTTAATTTTTCATTTTTAATTTTTCTATTTTAATTTTTATTTTTTAATTTTAAATTTTCGATTTTTCTATTTTTCTATTTTTCTATTTTTCTATTTTTCGATTTTTCGATTTTTCGATTTTTCGATTTTTCGATTTTTCGATCTTTCGATTTTTCGATTTTTCGATTTTTCGATTATTCGATTTTTCGATTTTTCGATTTTTCGATTTTACGATTTTTCGATTTTTCGATTTTTCGATTTTTCGATTTTTCGATTTTTCGATTTTTCGATTTTTCGATTTTTCGATTTTTCGATTTTTCGATTTTTCGATTTTTCGATTTTTCGATTTTTCGATTTTTTGATTTTTCGATTTTTCGATTTGATTTTTTGATTTTTGATTTTTGATTTTTAATTTTCAATTTTTCATTTTTCATTCTTCAGATTTCAGTTTTCATTTTTTAGTTTTCAGTTATCAGTTATTTGTTATCTGTTATCTGTTTTCTTTTATCTGTTATCTGTCATCTTTTATCTGTTATAAGTTATCTGTTATATGTTACCACCTGTTACCTGTTACCACCTTTTACCTGTTATCTGTTATTTTCCATATAGCATTGAAAATATCCTGTATACAATTGTATAACAGACTCAGATTTATGTGAGATGCCGGCAACGTCGCATGTGTTGTTGTTAATACCATACATGGCGTTATAAAATCTTCCATGTAGCAAATTGTATAGCAGACTTAGATTTATATGAGGATCGTCGCATAAATCTAGCTATAACACGACTTGCAAAAAAATGGCGCTTGACACTGACATATGTCAACCGTGTTCGTCTATGGATAGCAGTGGACTATGCTTTCTTCAGTGTATATGTTTTCTGTTTTGTAATGTCAATGTCATTGTCATAGGTAATTTTTTCTAACCTGGAAAATGAAATGTATTTTGTTTAAAATTAAAATTCAATAACTCCTATTGTGAGATGTGTGCATCTACAACATAATGAAAGGAAAAATTAAGATTCTGAAAGTTAATTCCTAAATATCATAGTAAGGAAATCCGTAAAACTAAAAAAAAAGTAAACATAAACACCTTGAGAAAACTTCTTCCGTATCAAGTGGTTAAAGTGGAGTTTTAAAACAATTTTTGTTGAAAATAAGGCCGTTAGTTTACAAGCAGGTATGTAACTGAGCGATCCGCTAATGTGTGTGTATCTTGCTTATAAAAAATGCTGTATTTAGATATTGCTATTCACATGAGCTACCGTTCTTTGATAGGATATTTTCAAATTGAACTTTTGTCTTATTTTTACTATTTATTGCAGGAGAACAGTTGTTGAACCAGGTCCTGGTGCATACTTATGTAGTTGTCACTTTGTGGATGGGAAAAAAGAAAATAGACCTACATTGTTTAGGTATAATAGGGAGAAGCAATTGAACTTTCCATCGCCAGAAAGAAGAACCCGTAAAAATAACAACAATGTGAAAATTGAACTCTATAATATGTTACTTCAAATTGGGCCCTTTTAAGGGATGTATGTAATAATTATGTGATCTGCAAAAATAAAAATAGTTTAGATACAACACATGGCATCATAAATTATTTTAATGTAGAGTTCAGTACTCGTATAGGTAACTTTCACTCCCCTGGCAGGCTTAATCTAAGCGATATCACAAATATGTCTATACCAAGTTACGATTATACTGTGCAAGAGTACTTATCTTACAAATTTTGACAAGTAATGGTGTCTGTTGTTTTGACAAGTCTTGGAAGTCACAAGTTCTTAAAGCAGCTACATTCTAAATCGATTTAGATCAAAATAAACAACTGCAGTGGCTGTGAAAGTATTAGTAATTTTGAAAACTTTGGTAGTAGATATGATTATCAATGCTATTTTTCAGCGCTTTGCATATTCCTTCATCTGCTTGATAATATTTGCCAATCGAAGGGATAGATGACAAGTTTGTTTACTTATTTTCCATTTATACATACTACTCAGGTGAGATACTACTACTACAAGGTTTTTACAATATTTATGAGTTTGTTGGTGGTAAAGTTCTTCGTTTGGGAAAAATTCAACAGAAGCAGAT